TTTTTCAGCTAAGTGCAGCGCTGCAATCAGCAAAAAACGCGATTTTCGGCTAAGTGCAGCGCTGCATTCACCAAAAAACGCGTTTTTCAGCTTAGTGCAGCGCTGCATTTAACAAAAAACGCGTTTTTCAGCTAATTGCAGCGCTGCATTCAGCTAAGTGCAGCATAATCGCTAAGTGCAGCGCTGCATTTAGCAAAAAGCGCGTTTTTCGGCTAAGTGTAGCGCTGCAATCAGCTAAGTGCAGCATAATCGCTAAGTGCAGCGCTGCATTTAGCAAAAAACGCGTTTTTCAGCTAAGTGCAGCGCTGCATTCAGCAAAAAGCGCGATTTTCGGCTAAGTGCAGCGCTGCATTCAGCTAAGTGCAGCATAATCGCTAAGTGCAGCAAAAAACGCGTTTTTCAGCTAAGTGCAGCGCTATCAATTTTGCACTAACACAAGCTTCTTAGTTTATGAAAATCACAAATGGGCTTGCAAAAAAAGCAGCAAACAGAAGGCCGCTCAGAATAAGGCGGATAGTCGTAACCCGTCCACAATAGATAATAACGATACCTTGAAATATTTGTTAGGGCTATGAAAAACTTTTGCTTAATAAATTATTTGGTCAAAGCAAATATTAAGGCCATCACATGGTTTCGTTGGTAACTTCACATAGCACAGTCGTTAAGCGCCGCACTGCATTCAGGTACATTCTCCGGGCAAAACTTAATATAACCTGCACACTGTTGGATAAGCTATTAATAGAGGATTCACTCCGTGCCAGTTTCAATTTTTCAAGGGACATGGTTTGGTCACAGTGGCCTTTCAAGGTTTGCTTATATTTCAGCCGTCAAAGTCTCATAAACCTGCACATCGTTGGAAAGGCTATTAATAGAGGATTCATACCGTGCTAGTTTAATTTTTTCACAGGACATGGTTTGGACACAGTAGATACGCAAGATTTCGCCTTATTAACCTCATTTATGACATAGTGTAAAAAAGGTTTGGTTTCGAATATTAATTAATTTAAATAAAGTAATGTTTGTTTATAATAATTTGCAAAAAAATTCTCGAAATTTTCTTGTATGTTGAGTTAAATGCCTCCAAGACTTCGTATAACAGAATGTTAGTTTGTGTCTTTGCTAGTTATATTTAACTTCACACCCTTTCGACTTTATTACTCTGCTACACTCTCCCATTTCTTAACGATATTAGAATTTGATCCGATTTTCAAACAATTATAATACTCGCATGAAATTCTCTTCCCCCTAAGTTTACCGAATTTTTTTTTGATAAATCTAACAAATATATTTCATATGAATTATTGTTTAATTCCCTATGCAAGTATTTTCAAAAAAATAGGTAATCTTTACTTATTGTAGGTAAGTATGTTTTTTCCAATTTTCAACCGCTTGTGCCATTTCAGTCCCTATTTCAATCACAATTTCACCAATGCTTTACGTATTCTCCTCTTTTTCTTCTTTTCATACGATTGCCTCAAAGCAATACCTATAACTCGAAGCGAAATAGATACAAGGTATAAGGCTTTAACTTGAGTCCCTGCGATCTTCGTTATTATATTTTTTTATTTCTCAACATATTGTAAGATTTCTTTGTCTCATCACCTTGTCGCTTCATTTTCAATCAATTTTCTAATAGATATTTTCAATATCGACTGTTATCTTCGAATCTGTCTTGTCCCTTCGCCGCAAACTTCTCAAAAAAAAAAGAAGAAAACCAAGAATTCAATTAAATATCTACCGCTCTTTTTTTTCGACCTTGCCAGATCGTTCAGTGATTACACTAAATACAGACTTGTATTTAAACGTATTGCAACTAAAATAGTAATAACGATTATTAATCGAATTTTGAATTTTGATACTTTTCAGTGAAAAGAAGAGCACTTCTTATTTCTAAAAGACTTGTACGTGACATAATAGTTAGCATCGTTGGAGAAGCACGATAACTGTTTTCTGTGTCGACCAACAGATGATTTCGGCTTGGGCTATGTGTGGTTTTAGCAAAACGATGCAACATTCCATACATTTCGTGGCATCCATGCAACGACAGACATGATATTGTAAGTCTCAGTATGAAGAAGTTCAGCTTCATAGAGCACAACTCGCTCTGTAAATTTTTGGAATCGTAACCTGCACTGTCCTGACCTCACCTCCACGCTGTTAGTAACAGACATTACTTCTGCCGATTAACACAATTTTCAATTGATGACCACTTGTTTTCTCGGTTGTTGTTTCGATCTTTTAAAAGATTTGGGTCGTTTTTGGGGATAGTCCCAAGAGATGAGATATTTTCTCAATATGGATTAGAAATTTTCTTTGTTTACCTGGTTATTATTATTTTTCTTTAATGCACCCTATCATTCAGGGAATGTTTTATTTTATAACACGGTGACAGTTATATAGAAGTGAAGAGAGAGGTGGTGAGAGGGAGAATAGATAATGGCTGCTGGGGAAAAGGGAGAAAGGTAGTAGGCAGCGATCTATTATAATGAATGTATTTTTAGTTATACAAAAGCCGACGCGAAATGTATTTACGTAGGTATTAAGCTGTTCCATATTCCGTCTTCGTGGGAGGTCAGCTGCTTTTTGATTTCGAATGAAGGGAAGCAAGTTAGGCAATGCGAACTTTCCGTGAAAGCGACGACGAAGGAAACACGTATGTGCTGTCTTTTTGCGCGTTTTTTGGGCTGCCCACCGAATTCAGTCATTGCCCGTATCGGCAAAGTATTGCGTCGAGTTCCATCATGTTAAAAAAAAAAGCTAACAAGAGATAAGATAACTGCAAAAGGTTATATAAAATGAAAATGGCATAGTTTGTAAAAATTATGAGATTACGAAGAGTGTAAGACGAATACATCATTACGTTGGAGGGAAAGCGCTATTTTATTTTAAATAAAACATTTGAATTTGAGCAACTTTGATATGTTCTATAACGGTTGGATGGTAGTGGGCAGGGTCTTTTACAATTGCATAGTGGTTGGATGTGGGTTACTTTCTCATTTTCGAAATGAAATCTTGCCAACCAGATCTGGCGGGTCCGAACGTTTACAACTTCGCGTTCTAGCGTTCCACATAGCCAAACAATGCGTTGCTGTCTTTCCGAAACTCATGTCAAAAGCAATGTTTTAAATGGTCTTTTATCCACTGCCATCTTATTCGCTCTGCACTTCGCAACTAACTGATGACGGATGTTAAAAATAATCGTATTACATATTCTACGCTAATTAAGAAAACCTTGTAAGTTAGTAGAATTAGCCACAAGTGGTAAAATACGACTGAACTTTTCCGTCAACCTACTATTATAAAGCAATTTAAGCCATTCAAAGGTCATATCATTTGTTGTGACGGATGTACCGTCCCTTTCAGTAATCGTGAATCTGCTTTATTGACAGTTTCTTGCAAAAACAATAGTGTTAGATGGAAACGAATTTAGTGAATGGAACTGCAAGGCAACAAAAAAATTGTCGACATTAAAATTTGATTTTATTTTAAATAAATTAAATCGCGTTTTATAATTAGATATATGCGCGTAGAGACCAATCGTAGCAAGAAGCAAGAAGTTATTATGAGTAGGTGTGCATTCCGTTTGTTCAGATCTTTGCAGGTAAAATGTTTAACTGATAACCTTTATAGGTTACGTTTAGTTTAGATGTAGCTTAGTTTTAAATGAAAGTTTAATTATGAGTTGAAAATAGTAACAGTATTTTATAAAATCATTACATTATATTAATTGTATTATGCGAAATTATTGTTAATCATGAAATTCTTCAAAATAAAAGTAAAATGAAAAAATGCAGGCATAAGTTTCCTCCCGGGCTCTCGTAATGAGATAAAGTTTGAAAATTATGTTTTATTATTCGCTTTACTACTTTAGTTGAACTTTTCTAATTAGCTTAACATGGTCTATTTCAGAGAAAATATTTCATAATAATTCACTGATAATGTGTTTCATAAAAAACGAACAGAAAGTTCTCTTGCGCTGGCGGTGAAAAGCAACGTTTTTTTTTTCCTTTTTTTTTTTTTCTAGAAAAAAGGTTTTATTGAATAATATTGTGTTTTTGTAATAAAATGTTTGGAAAATTTACAGAAAACTTTTGATACTCTCTACAAGAAGAGAAGATACTTTAAACAAATTGTTAGCACATTCCTTAGCGGAAAGGTATACGCATCAAAAAATCAGGCATTTAATATAACGGAAGAGATTAAACTACATTCGCTTCTGAACTTTCAATGCGTTCAAAAAAATTAAGAAACTAATGGAATTAATTAGTAATTGTGTTAAAAGGTAAAAGAAATGAAAAATAAAAAAGAAAATGTTTTAATAATTCTATCTTAGCTTTATGGTATTATAACGTTAGGCTTACCACATAATTTAACAATAGCTTATAGAAATATCCAGTCAGTTTATGTGACAAATTTGCTTGTTTGTGTGTCTTATGGCATTGTCTTATAGTCTGATTGGGACCTAAGAGGATTTTAAAATTTTTTCCTATTGTAAGTTTTGCCTAATAGCTAAAAAGTTTACACGATATATAATTTTATGTTATTATTATGTATTGTTGTTAAACAACAAAGGCTTTAAGGTCGAATTAAAAAAATTGATTAAGTTAAGCAATTTATATCAGCCCTAATCATATCAATGCGGATGTTGGCTATTCAAGATTCATTATGAAAAGAATATATTGTTTGCTTATATGCTTTTATTTTAGTTTTACAACTTACCGTTACGTAACGGTATCCTATTACAGATAACGAACCGGCTAAAATACCAATTAAGATAGCGCCATGACCTCCAATCATTAGATTGCAAACTGTACCCACGGCAACACCTCCGGCTAATGTGGAATTTTGCACGTGTACCATATCGAGCTTTTTCTCGTGACTCATCATAGTTGAGAGTACAAAGGCAGTCACTATGGAAAAGATCACAATTATACGTAAAGTTGAGCATTTTTTCACAAAAAAAAAAAAAAAAAAAAAAAAAAAAGATAAAAGTGAAATTAAATCTAAAGTTCGATTTAATTAATCTTTATATAGGTTTGCTTTTTTTTTCCAAATTTACTCCGTTATTCTCTACTTGTAGTAACTTTCTTCAATTACGTATAAAAAAAAAAGTTTAATGGCAAAAAACTTTTGTTTGCCGTCAATTGACTTTGTAGTCTTAGTTTTTTTAATGATACAATATGTTTGAAAAATTCATTTAAACATTTAAAGTTTCCGACAACTCAATTATAGATATAATGACAGACGATACATGTTTGTAATGTAATGTTGTTGGTATTCCTTGCGGGGTATGATGGTTGATAGCCTAAAAATTACAATTATACTTCGTTGCATGACTACGTAAGCGTACACGCATATATGTATATATATATATATATATATATATATATACAGAGAAAGACATTCATTCATACCACAACTAAGAGATCACTTCAATTTGTAGTGCGGTATAGGTAAACATGTATGCATTCATATCCAAAACACAACAATTGCATGTGTTTGTATATATGTGCACGTTGTATGCAATGTAGTTGTACATCTACTTAAGCTCAACTCAAATGTGTGTATAGTGCGGTTGAATACTTTTAATGATGCTTGTTGTTATTGTTGTTGCTGCTGTTGCTGCTGTTGCTGCTGTTGCTGTTATTGTTGTTACTATTTCATTTACTACTAATGTGTACATGAAGTTGAAATTAACACCAAAGGTGTTGTTTGTTTGCCTATATGTTAACATTTGTAGTATTTCTAGTAGTGTTAGAGAAAGCAATAGTCAGTTGGTCAAAATATCGGCAACTCTTTCCGTCTATTGCATTTCTATGGTCGGCTCGGCCCACACAACACAGAAACTAAGCAAAATTCGTATCAATAAAAAAAAAAAAAAAAAAAAAAAAAAAAAAAAAAAAAAAAAAAAAAAATAAAAAATGGAAAACGGAAAACAAGAAAATTTCTTTTTTGTTTTTAGGGTGAAAATGTTTGTATAAAATGTTGCGACATGTTTTAATGTAATGCTTAAATTAACAGCAACAACAAGCTTAAGCTAAATTGCACTACATTAATGTCCTAACATCGGTAAGTTTGGATAATAAGTACAAAACTACAAACTAATGGAAGATGAAAACGACATCGATTACAGCCGCTCAATGCACTGAGAGAAATTAAATAGTTCAAAGCGAAAATAATAATGACATTTGTTTGTCTTCCTCGATGAGATAACGTTTTTCATTTTTGCGTCTTTGTATAACAAATCAAAATTGTTGGAAAAATATTCGCTTTAAAATTTTTTTTAATCCCTGCGAAGCTTCAGTCTCGAAAAGTTCTATATATTATAAGTTATTTCTTGATTGATTAGCAAACATTGGCGAGGACCGTCAGACTTCCGAATGCCTTGACCAGCCTAACATTGCTGGCTATTTGTTAAGTCATGCGCGCATGGGAAAAGATGAAAGACTCTAACCACTGCATCAGTCATAAGCCTCATGTAAACTCATGTAAAAATAATGTTTATTCGCTGAAATTGAATCCGTGTTAGCTAAAAATCGCATACTGAGATTGATACCTTTAAAACTCTTCGTCGACTAACTCTATCAATTCAATTTGAAATTGTCCATGCATAGCTTTAAATAAATTTCAAGTAAGCCCTTCAATTAGGATCTGTTACAGAATAGACGAAAAATTCAAAAAATCAAAAGCTAAATACATGGACATATTTATGGTATTTCTTACGTAAAAATTTCCGTTCATTCAGGTTAAATCATATGTGAACCTACCACACTTGCTAAATGCAATCGAATTTTAAGTCGTTGACTCACTGACGCATTCAGTTTCTCTTTTAAGCTTTTCGCCAGTTACAGACTCTTGTATACTTAGCATCCCAAGCCAATAACGAAAAATCATAATAATTTTTGTTAATTAATTGCCTTTAAATTATTTCTCATCTTTTTTAAGTTTGCAAACTGTACTCCTCGGTGATCCCAATAAGTGTTTACGTGCAACGCTATGAATCTATCGTATTTTCGAATTTTTCACTTAGGCTTTCCTTGTTTAATTTGTAATACATTTATTAGCAGTTCATAATATTTTGAAACGTGATATGAGACTGCGAACGAGGACTACAAGTGTTAAGCTTTAAGCCTTTCCTCCCAAATAAGAAGTTGCCAATTCGAGAAAAATACAAAGTCAAGATCCTTGCAATTCTCGATAATTCGGACTACTGTACCATTTCTGCGTCCTGTCAATCTTTACCACGTTTCTTTTTCAGTCAAAAGATGCGAAATATTCAAATACGATGAGGCAAATTGGGCGGAGCTCAATTTCTTTATGCAAACCAAACAGCTTGAGTTGTGTCCACCTTTTATTCCACCAATTAATTTGAAAATCAATTTCTGAATCGATGTAAACCGATTACAGTTTGTCCGATATTTTAATGACACCCATAACGAAAACGTTATTAAAAATAAAAATAAAAATTGATATTACGGCCACAACCCCTAAAACACCTTTTTATCGGAAAAGTTTCTGTATGAAACAAAGGTGCGATTTTTAATAATTCACGAGAAAAATTGATGAAAAATGTTATTTTTGCAAAAATGGTATTTAGGTATGCACTAAATATCTACGAAGATAAATATAATCATGTGATATTAAATTTGGCGTTTGTATATGAGAACAAGCAATTATCTTTGATAGAAGAACCCATCTGCATAGATGGACTTGGTGAAATGTTGTAGGATAATTAGAAGTCGACCTTGATCGATTCCAACGTTTGGAAATTATTGGAAATCTTCATAAAATTTTTCTCAGTGCATACAAATCCGCGGCAGTTTCAAATTTTTTTTAAAAACACACACAAATATACGCTTGGATTAGTAGATATTTATTGAAGTGTTATTATTGAATAAAATTTTTCAAGCATGTCCTCATGCATATGCATTTGCTTAATATATGTATATATATGCATTATATATGTATATATATGCATGTATAACTCCCCAATCTCAGTTATATGCAATGTTTTCATAATAATATTGTTGTCATTTTAAACCAATATCCTTATTGCTGTGCATTACAGATACGCAAGCATTTAATACGGACATCTCTACGTATACGTAATGGATGTTTTATTTCTTTAGTTTATTTTTTTGCTTTTTTTCGGTCAGCTTAGGGTATGACTACTAGTGCAGTTATAGTGACTAAAGTTTGTAACGGTGGTGTGCAAGTAATATGGGCAAAAATTTTACTAAATACATATAAAAGTATTCATGTATTTATGAATACACAGAAGCATTCACACACACACACACACACACATACTTATATAAATATGTTTATAGTTTGCCACGTAGTTGGTGTGAATTATTTGTAAACTGGTATTAGAGTGTGAAGGTGTGTCTATGTGTTTAGTGAGCGAAATTGCTTGTCTGTGTATAAGTTTATGTACACATTTATACACAGCTAACTGGTTTCTTGTATACATTTAATTTGTATTTTCGTTGTTATTTACATTAACAGTTGTTGCTTGTTTGCTTTTGTGTACGTTGTTTACCGAACAGACAGACCAACACTTGTACATATATACCAATATATAAGCTGATATTGTTATTTTGTTTCTTTTTTCCGTCGGACGTTAAACCCTACTCAACCATCCAACCAGCTCTTTATAAAGCCAAAAGTGGTCATGTCCGACCAATATGTCCACCGTTTGTTTGCTTTAAATGGTATTTGGTTTTTCAGTTTTCACTTACAAGTGTCGTTTCGTTGAGGTACGTATGTGCGTATCTCTGGATGTGTGCTAATGTTATTCTGAGTGTAAGTGTCAATATTTATATATATGTATATTTATATATATATATATATATATATATATATATATATATATATATATATATACGCATGTATGTTTTCGTGTATGTAAGTTCATCTGTTCGCCTTCTCCTCTGTTGCCCCTTTCTGCTGCTATCAGTCAGTCAGTGTGTACGTGTTTAAAATAAATTTTATGAAATGTGTTAACGCAACTATTTGACATTTAATTAGCTTGCGACTAGAATACAAAATATAGATAGATATATGTACGTAGATATCGAGAACACAGATTGCAATATCAATCTCACTACATTTCGCATTACCTTCTCTTCACCTTCAACCTGCACACATTCATTTTCATACTGAGACTTATACATACATACAATATATAATATATATGTGGGACATATATGTATATGTATATGTATACGTACGTTCTCACACTTGCTAAACGAATTAAAATATTAAGAAAAATTGGAATAATAATTATTATGGGAAAATATGTTTCATGCCATAAAACGAAACCGTTTCTTAAATTAGTCAAAATCAAAAAAGAAAATAAATAAATAAATAATTGCGGTCACAATGTTTTCTATAAATTTTTTTTTTTTTTTTTATTTTGCTTCAAAGATTATTCAATAATTTTTCAAAATATTTTTCATAGTGAAGTATTTCAACATAATTCAAAGATGAGAAGCAAGATTTGTACTCAAATTGGGTCGTGTTTTTTAATTCCAACCATATGTATATAAGCTTGCCCACGATATCCAAAATAGAGTGAAGACTCATTAATCAGATATATATCATATATCGTATTGTATCGTACTCACGTGCAAATTGACCATATTTCTTAAATGATTTTACTAATTAAACGACATATTTAAATGCATCGCTCTATTTAATATTGCGATCAAAAGATGTTAAGACGCCTTTATTTACAGCGCCCGGGACTTATTGACATATGGTGGTTACTCTTTTTATCCTACACCACTTATAGTACATTAAGTATATTAAGTTAGCGCGGTCTTATGTAACACTCAGAAGGGCTTCAGATAAATCCACCTTTTATTATACCGAATCTAAGCTTGTCTGCCCGTCCCTCTGTCTGGTCTCTGGTCATGTAAACTTGTATTCAAGCTACAGGTCGCAATTTTTGAGATATTTGGATGAAATTCGGTACAGTTATTTATTTTGACCCTATTAATCGGTTTTCGACCACTCCCCTTATAACACCCGAATCTGAAAAGTCGTTGCAAAAGTGGTTAAGTAGTAGCATTTTGCCGTTCTAAATTGGTATGAAAACTTTGGACAGTCTGGGGCAATTTTTGAATCCCCCGTCATATGACGAATACTGAAATTCATGCAACAGAAAGGTACGATTTTCATTCCTTCATACTGAAAATTATATCATAATAGTAATTTAACATAAAAAAATTAATTGTACTAAATTTCAGCGATCTCGGCCAATTTATTGGAAAAGAAAATGACGAAAAATTTCGTAAAGTTAAGCAACTCAATCATCTAAACACTAATATGTGATCTATGTGATATATCTATAGTAAGCAAAACAGCTGACATTTTGTTGATAAACACCAACACAAAAAATAATTCATTTAAATATTTCTCTTAAATTACTCGCCGATATACTTACGTAGGAAGTGCTCGAGGGCTTTCGTGTAAAGTGAAGCAATTTTGAAAACCCTACCTACGCACGTTACGTACACATCCTCCAGGGTTACATTTGCTCAAAAATCTCAAATTCTTAAACCTCTCTTATCTTTATAAAGCATTATGAAAATGAACGAGCTATGTAGCGTAAACCATGATCATTAGTGATAGTTGAACAGAGTTTAACCTTCAATTGTACACTTCAGCAGTTAAGTGTTTAAAGGTTAAGAGATTTCAATCGATAAATATTAAAGTTATCTGATAGTAATACAGTATTGTCCTGTAAGTAGGATACATAAAATATATATACCTAAATACACACACTCACATATCAATATGTAATTGTTAGCTTGATCGTTGAATTTTTCAATCATAATTTTAGACTTCCGCGCAGAAATGTTTTCTTATTTGTTACGTATACGACATAGAATGTATCGAAGAATTCCTTAAATTTTTTGGCTTTATGTTTATTAAGCCAAAAAAACATTACTTTATGAGTAACGATTAAATTACCTATCTGTAGATATTGAACACAATTAACATCATATGTCATGAAATGATTCCAATACCTGCCTAGGAACAATAGGCACTTTCAGGTCTTAAGTGTTGCATGATTTATACAAAATAACGTTTGCATGCAACTTATTATTAAGGTCTTTGATATGCATATATAAGAGACAGCATAGGCGGACGGATATATTCACACAATTGCTTATATAACTTGAAGCAATTTTCATATATATGCATATATATATATATATATATACATATATATATATAGGTAGGTATCTATCTTTTATTGCAAAGTTGCATTAAAATTGAAATACGTGCTTACCTGTTGCACCTGCTAATGATAAATACGTGTTTAGAATAGCACGCTCCTGGGCAGTGCCATCGGCCAATACAGAATTGAAACTTGGCCAGTATATCCACAAAAATAAAGTGCCAATCATTGCAAACAAGTCTGATGTGTAAGTAGGTGCTTCGTACTGTCCGGGCTCGTTTTCTTCCTTTTTGGGGCGTAGCATTAAACTTACGGCCAAACCGAAATATGCACCAAACGCATGTACAGTAATTGAGCCGCCGACATCACAAATCTATTATAAAATGGAAAGCATTATAAATTGACATGAACACAATGGTAACGTAAACTCATCTACATGCACACAAATTATTTAAAAGATTTCAAGTGTTTCGTATGTTGTGTCCAGTTCTCTTTTATTCATTTAGGCGTTTTTCACATTTGATAACAATTTTGTTGTAAGTGCATGTGACACATGCGAAGTGTATAAATAAACTCTGATAGATTTTTGTCATACACTTACAAAATATTCCTCCTTACACAATATGAGTGTTTACATTAATGTACGGTATATATATATATATATACATATATATATATATACGGTATATATACGGTACGGTATATATATATATATTTATACGGTACGGTATATATATATATATGTACATTGTATGGGCCAAAGGCAGGTGACATTTGTTAGTCGGTTTAATAACGTAGAGTCACACATGAATATGTAATTATGTTGATTTCACATGTGTTAGCACCGACAATTCTATTGTTTCATTATTATATTTAGACTGGCTATCTATGCAAGCACGTTTATCGGCTTATACAAGCGTATATATATATATATATATATATATATATATATATATCTTTAATGTGTTTCAGATAGATATCTTGTATGTGAGAATTTATAACATTTGTAATTGCATGAACAGGATATTATGATTTTAGTTTGGATTTTGTGTCATGGATACACATTATATTATTTATGTGCATTATATATTCAAATTATATGTTACCACTGTGTATAGACGTATGTGTGTATCTATATGTGCGAATAGCAGGTCACTCATTACGTTCATAAGTGTTTGCATACATGTCATAACATTTAACGATTTCATTTACTCAGTTTTGCAATGCTCATGGCAAGCGCAATACAATGATAAGCAGAAAAAAATTTTTTAATAAGCAATAGACATATCTTGCTATAAACATGTACGCTTCGGACTGTGTCTTTGTCTGTTACTGCATTGAAAATAATGGAATGGAATAAAAATAAGTTCTACGTCTAAACTTACACAAATTTAAACTTCTTACCATACATCTGTGTAACAATTTGAAATTGCGTACAATATATGATTGGATAATGCTTATATATACAGCATAAGAATGAAAACTCAATTATATATAGGAAACAATAATTTATTTTCAGTTTTGCGTCCGTCCGAGCAACTCTCTATGTGTATCACAATCTATCCTCTTGTTCGTCCACTTTTTTCCTGTCCATCTATTTCGGTTTTCTATTTTATTACACGTGTGTTCAACAGTTAATCTCCTATATATCTATCTGTCTGTACGTCTGTCCGTTCATCCGGATGTCCATTTGTCAATTTATTCTTTTCCGCTCTCACTTGGTGCCCGTTTGTTTGTCTTTGCGTATGTTTCGTATTTGCTTACACCGCCATGCGTCTATTATGCGTTTACACGAACATGTAAGTCCTTTCAATTATGTATCTGCCCGCCTGTTAATCCATTTGCCATCCATTTGTCCGTCTTTACTGTCCTATAACTATCCGTCTGTTTATATTCCATTTCAAAATTTGATTTTTAACCGATAAATTCTTAATGAACTTGTGCAGGATATGCTAAGCAGGAATCATTGACTTAACATTAATAGCCTTTGCATTACAAGGTAGTAGTACTATACCTATAAATTATACCAACAAATGATTAAATTTTCTTTCAAATCTTAGCGATCTCATAACCTCTGCGATAAAGAGCATCTAACATATCCTGAAAATTGAGCAGATATTTAATATATAAAAATAGTTCCCATTTTGTCAATGATACTTTTGTGATAATCAGACAACAACTGAAACACATTCATCTCTGCTTATATGTAAGGAATTTTTTGAATGCCTTAAGCTGTTTTCGTTTTGAATAATGACTGTATAAGTTTCCCTCCAATTAATAAGTGAAGCCCGATGTATTTAATTGACGTAAGGAAGTGAAAATTGAATACGTAAATTGAAGCGCATCTCCGGTTCCGAATAACAATAAAGAAAACTAAAAAAAAAAAAAAAAAAAAAAAAACACTTATTTATGCACTAAAGGATGATTTTTAAAAAAAAATCTCCAGCGATCAGATCATCAAACCATTAATTAGTTTCTTATAGTGGCACGTAAGATATTAAAATTATTCAGCCTTAATGGATAGCATTACGTAGATGTTAAACATTGACAACTTACTCGTTTCTTGCAATTATTTAAACTTACTACTATATCTGATGGCTTTCTTAATGAACCATGTATTTGATTACCATGACCGACATACTGACATGTACGTACGCAATCGGGCACATGGGCACATGGGCGCCTGGGTAGACGGGCATACACGGGTGCATCTGTTCACAATCTGTTTTCTGGCTTCATTGCAAATGCATTTAATCGCATTGAAATGGAAACCACGATATTCTCGTGTACACAAATATATAATCAGACAATCAGACGTAAACATGCACAAGCAAAGAAACAAAAACACATCAAAGGAAAGAGAGGAACAATGAAAGTAACGGCAATATGCCTAAAGTCATCATACGATACTTACACTAAGGATTTCCAAAGCAACGTATTCATTAACGGCAAACAATATAATTTCGAACAATGCCATAAACAATAATTGTATTGGCGTTGTACGACCCAACAATACGCCCATACTAATTAATGGTACCGCAGCAGATATGTCCGAATGTATGATATGCTCCAGCGAAAGCCTTTAAGAACGAGAAAGCGAAAAAGAAAAAGAAAACAAAAAAAAAGTCAATATTTAATAATATCTTCATTTCTAAAATCATTCTTGCTCTTCGCTCTTCACTCTTGGATGACTGTAAAGAGTATAGTACGGCATGGTGTATGCGCGATACGATTTGTAATATTCTAGTGACGAAAATGAAATCTGTTAATACTGAGTGAGTTAAATTATTGTTTTTTGTTGTTGTTCTAGCCCTTAACTAGACCTATGGTTATCTGAAGCTCTACCTACTGTTGAAACAGGCTCTCAGATCAAATTACAAAATTGCTATGATAACACATTGAGTCTGAAAGTGATCGTGATTCGTGTGCTACTTGGGTCTACACTTTAGAGGTATGGCACGTGGCACATCGATGCCATAGTAGTAGTAGTCGTAGTAGTAGTAGTAGTAGTAGTAGTAGTAAAGAAGGCCTTATTTATATTCCACAAGAAATATTGACGTGAGATCTTATCCAAGTGTTTCGTCTTGTCTTACCTAAGTCGGTCGTGTAAAAACTCTTACAATTAGCAACTGATACGTCTTGTCGTGTATTGTGTAAGCTTTTTTGCAATAATTTTTTTGCTATCAAAAAAAAAAGGAAAAAAAAAAGAAGAAGAACGACAATGTTTGTTAGTTAAAAAACTGAAAGTTATGCTGGCATGCATGTTAAAAGAAAATGCTAAAGTGTGCATATGTGTGTGTACGTAAGCAAAAAAGAGGCAGATTATAACTATCTTAAACTAATTTAAAACTATGCGTAAACTGTCAACTCAAACTATGTAATTTAAAACTATACGTAACTGCCAATGATTGTGTTGCGTCTGCATAAGCAAACGCAATTGGTAGCCTTCATAGGCAAACGTGCCACGAATCCGCCTTTAATTGAAAATATATTGTGCAACTCGAATGTATTGAGCGAATATGCTTTATAAAGCTCAATATATCCCCAGCCTAACTGTCCAGTTTTTTGCAATTTCGTCATTCAAACGCACTTACAATGCTACATAATATTTAATATTAATGCTTTAGCTGTTGTCAGGATAGTCGATAGGTATTATACAATGCGCATCCCAAAATACGCACGCTACGTTGACTTTTATCTCATCGTTTGCTTTCGGCGGGTTTTGCTGGTTACTATCCACTCGGCTGACTGCTGATTTAATCTGGATTGCATGTTTCATTCATTGTCATCTACCTTATGAAAAACTCATTTTTATTTCGCCTCAACGGCTCCAACACGATCCTATTGTTGGTCAAAAGTGAGCAAGCGCAGCACACACTTCGAACAGGCATCTTTCACGGATAAATATTTACGCAAAATGGCCGATGGACTGCATTTTCATATCTTTAGGGTGGCAGTTGTCGTAAGCAACTTCACTTTTGTGTCTTCCAAAAAGTTTTTTTGCAATTTTTGTGTCTTTTTTTACATAAATACCTACATTTGACGATTAGAGCGATCAACACAACAACCGGTGATCATACGACTTTGTTTAAAATTAGTAAAGCATTTGGAAATTTATTTCTTCGACAATGAAGAGCCGGCATAACAGCTTCTAAGTCAAGGACAATTGTGTTTCAAAAATACCAAAAGTAACTTTACTAAAATCGCTGTAACCTCCAAGTTAACTGTTAGAATATTATGCAATTTTGACGCGTATTGTTTGAAGACTGATATTGTTCAGAAATCACATGAGTCTATCAAGAGTGTTGTCGTATACATGTTGGGCCATAGACATATTGAGAGATATGTTATATAACAGCTTGGTACTGAGGCTATTCTATCTAAAATTATTAAACAAATAGTGCGATAGTCTTATAAAATCTTCTGCTAAAGACGAGAAACAATTTTTAATAAGATAATAAGAATACACATCACTCTAAGTTAAACGAATATTTGAATCTCTGAACGCGAATTTTCCTATAAGCTAGCATAAGTGATTTGAGAGTTTATATAGTGTTAGATTGAGGGAAGTTTTTCAATTACTTTAGGTAAAAAGCGTTTGCTTTGCAAAATATAAAAAAAATTTTATTTACGAGCCGTATATCCACGATTCCATAATTATCGTAACTATGAACCCATTTACCCATTGCGCTGACATCAATTCTTATTAACCCTTTGGCATATAATCACGAGTCTGACGAGTCGTGGTAAAGAAACTGTGTCGTAAGCGTCCTAAATGTATTAATATTATTATTTGCTCCCAAATATGATTTATTATTTCACAGTTTCTCTTGGTTCACCGAAATGTATATGCCATGAAAAGCATAGATTTTGCGCCAGTTCGGGTGAACGGACTAACATGTGAATAGCATGGCGCTCGACTGGTCTTATTCTTTAGTATGGCTCGCGCAATCGGCAAATAATGTGTAGGCCAAAGGGTTAATTGATATGCGTTATCATTGATGGACCCTAAAGAAATATATGAAAGTTGTCTAACTTCTGCGATTATGAAATGCAAAAAAATGTTAATCGAAATTTGTGTATGAAAGCAAACATGCGCGAAAAGCGCGAATCTCCCTATCATACTATAATAAATATATTATATTATTAATATGGCGTATGAGTTACTTAAAACTAAGCAAACATTGAAGAGTTTTTATTCTATTTAAGAGTGTATTCGATAAGAGTATATATAGTATATTGAGGTGCATAGGAGAAATGAAATGCATGGCATAAACAAATTAATCCTTTGATGACGATAAGGAAATGTCGAGAAAATTTCTGTACACACTCTTTTGTTTAACTTAAACATTCTGTTTAAACATATATTTACCTACAATTAGAACACTTCTGAACAATGGCGCATAAGGTGTGCTTAAGTGAAAGGGGGTAACATTGACTTGAAGTGAAACAGAGAGCAAAGCGAAACGAATCTTATATACATCATACATACATACATACATACATTCATATATCGATACATATATGCACACAAATGTACATATATTTATATAAATAAATATATGTATAATGTGTGCATGTGTAGATAGATATATGCATAAGTATATCATAGATTTGTTGTCTTTGTGTTGCCTCTGTGTTGCGTTTTTAACTTTACTGACTTACACTCACTCAATCGAGATAACATACAAGGTATTTAATTTGTTTTTTCCCTTAAGGAGTATCACTATAAGATTGTGTTATTGTGCATTGTCTTCGACCAAAATAAAATTCAGTAAGACTCTAGTTGCCGGTTGCGAAAATTGTGCTCCTGTTGCTTATCAGCGATGTATGCATCCTTGTGTGCGTGTAGATATATTTTTGCCAAATTTACTTTTGTTTTAAAACTTTTTAGCATTATATTGTAATGTGTACGAGTATGAGTTTGTATTTCTCTCTATTTGTATGTACATACATACATATATACAAGTATGTGGTTGCTTGAGTATTACTTATATACATACATTCCACCGTTTGTGTTAACTTACTAAGCCAAGTACAGCAACTTAACTATTTTGCTGTTGCTGAATGTTATGAACAAAGTCATTTTGACTTTCCTTTTGCCAAATGAGTTCTTGATTTTTTTTCATGCTTATTGTTACTTCTATATATATGTATATATATATATATATATGTATATATATACATATGGTTGAATGCACCAAATGCTTACTTACAATACAAATCTTGAGGAGCAACAGCACAAGCTTTAAGTATATTAAGCATTTTATATACTTGTGGTAGTATTAGCTACTCAAAATTGTCCGTCTGTATGCGTACGTACCTTCGTTGGCTTACCATTTGTTTTGTAACTGTATTGTATGTTGTCGTTGTGATATTTCTTCTTTTAGTTTTATTTCTTTTCATTTACAAAAATTTTTGCCAAGATTTTATAAAGATTTTATGCACATAAATACGTACACTTTCGTAACCTGCACAAATGCTTTAATATAGAGTCAAATGGAAAACATAAGAACGTACAGACACACGCGTGCACAATCAAAGAGTTTAAGTAAATTCAATTTAAAACAACAAAAGCGTAACTAATTACCTGCAGTTAATGAAAATCTTTTGCTCTCCCATGCCGGCATTGGTCTGCTAAGCATAATGGGAAGTTTGTTAAACTTTATTACCACACATATGTATATATACATATATATATATACATATATATATATATACATATATATATATATACATATATATATATATGTATATATATATATATACATATGTATATATATATACATATGTATATATATATACATATATATATATATAGGACCTATGATCCTATGATTTTATTAAATGATATGTTGCATATCATAACACAGGGGTGTTTGCGTGCGCGCGGGTGTATGTTGTGTGCGTATGTATATGTATATATATGGGTGATATATGTGATTTTATTTTGTATTACAGTATAAAGTTTCCGAGTAGGGAGCATCTAATATTCGCATTAAACTTCCTGTCATACAGTTTTCATTTGTTCGTTTACATTAACGCACAACAACTTGAAATGTTAAGCTCTTGTTTTTATTATATAAGGTTTTATTATTATGTCAAAACAAAAACAATAATAAGAACAAAATACTTACTCTATTTTACCGTCATACATATGAAAGAAGCCTTTAACTAGTATAGTCCATTGTATTATAAGAGCCGACATGAATAACGTGTAACCCGTTGCACTATAACCGTATTTTTTTAAAAAGGTCATTAGAAAACCAAAGCCAACGAATATCATGACATGTACGTCTTGAAAATCTAAAGATAAAGAAATATGAACAAAAAGCAAACAAAACATTTATTAAAAAAAAAAAATTTTATAATAACGTAATAGCTAAAGGTTAGCGATATCGTTTGCAGCTAAAACGAAAAATAAAAATCTTACACTTAAGCGGTTAATTAGTTTTAATTGTTTATAAAATTATATATGTTAATAAGACAAAGGTATATCGTGAAAATTTTTATAAACATTTTTTATTCGCGCACACACACACACATTATCAATATTTGCTTATAATAACATATAATAGAAATCGATATAAAATTTCTCTGACGCCCATATATCTATATATATTGAACGTCAGTTCATGTAATTTTCCTACTGTAGTCGTAGACTTGTTAGATGGCGCATGCATTGCGCTCCGAGTAAAAGCAGTACGCAATTGGAAAAAAATCGCTTGGTCTGAACGATACTCTTCCTATCAAAAAAAGCAATCTTTAATCAACAGACTACCGTAGGAAGCTGAGTAAGTAAAAATTATGAGTGCAAATTGAGTGTTCGCGGGTTCATGTCTCGAATGCAGTAGAGTTTTCTTTGATCATTGGGTTTTAATGGATGCTCATTCCTTAATGACTCAGCACTTGTCGAATCGTGCAATCACACCTCCCTGTCTCGGTGTCTTTCCTCATTTCCTTCTGGCCACAACCGTGTTACACGGATAGGGGACATTTACTAAGCGATTGGATAAACAGATAAGATTCGGATTTTTCGCTTGCTTTCAAAAAATATAAATACTTTTATTACTGGAAAAAGTAGTAGTAGCAGTAGTAGAAAAGGTGGAAAAAAGAAACACTCGTGTAACCTGGAAAAAAGGATCGAAATAAAACGTCGTTCGAGAGTTGTCATTTTTCAAAATTATTATGGGTTTCTTGTTAACGACAACATTTGTGTATCGCTCTCGACAATTCTTCATCGATTTGTTACATAATTTATATCATATTTCTATTTTATATGATTTGACAAGAGCTCTTAGGTAATTGTACAAAGCGAAAACAATATATTTCATCTCGGTCATGTGTGGCGTTTTCGTTAGCATATAATAGAACCACGGTAGTGATTGGTGCAGCAAGAATATCCACTGACAAATTGCCAACTTAACGATATAGAGGAGTTTAAGAAAACATTTTTTGCGTTTAGTTTAAGGATTCTGTGTTAGTACTTGTTATCGCTAGATTACATAGCTTGCGTCAAGTATGAGCTCCTACACTTTCTTCATCCAAGAAATCTATACGACATTAATATGAAGCTCCAGCCATTGATTTCTAACGAAACGTTAGCATATTATGGAAAAGAGTATCTCTAGTTGTGATGGAAAACATAACATCCCGCTCTTTGATATGCATACAATTTCGACGGCAATGAAGATTTCTAAGAAAATTCATTTCGCAACGTACTTCGTAACAATCGGCGAGAAAGCCGATTATCAACATTATTGGTCTCAATCTCTTATCGAGCGGTGCGGAATGAATTAATTAACAAGAAAGATGAAAACGATAAAATAGAAACAATGGAAACATTACCATTCGGCTTGGGTTCGGGTAATCTGTCATTCGTACAAACTTGAAATCCGTCGTCAAGCTTTGAATATTACTCCAATAAAATGCTACTTAGAAAAGTAATTACCCTTCAATCACTTCCGATATCGGATTTTCACACTTGCACTCTTAAATCAAAGTTGCCTACGAAGCCATAGGAAACGCCATTCGAAGAATATAAATTTGTAATTAGGTTGTGAATCCGTTCGATTCTCGATTTCTAGATAGCGTGTAATTTATTAATGGCGTATTAAAAGTCGTGTAATTTCGAATTAATGTTAATATTAGTTAAAATTAGTATTTACATGAACTTTTTGGAGAGCCCTGACCAAGTTATGCGTAGCTCGAGCTCAAAAATTAGCAAAATAACCAAAAATAGAGACAAGATGCATATCTTTAATATGCCGGCAATGCGATATTGCATTATTTTATATTAATAGTAAATCCTATTTGCAGCATATAGATATATATTTAGTTGTCTGCGTAGGTTATTTATGTATAACACATAAATATAAAACATAAATGAAAGCATTCTGAGTAAATCTTAATTAAAATGTGACAACTCTGATCACTCAGCAATTGGTTTAATCCACATGAAGCTTAGCACACATATACACTTAAGCCATGTTTCATAGAGCATTTATTATTATCAATTAAAATTGTAATACCTATATTTTTAAGCATGTATGCATGTATGCAAGCGTGCTGTGCGCCCATAAACGACGTTGTAAATGCTTAGCTTTATATGTGAGGCGGGCAATAATTTATATGCATTTATAATTGTATTGCAATTCAAAATAAATATAAATTAATTAATAACACATTTGAATTACATTTTCGATCAAACAACAAAAAAAGATATGTAATAATGACAATAATAATAATAATAATAATAATAATAATAACATAACTAACAAGTATTTATTTATTTATTACTCATACGTCGTTGAGAATATGTGCGCGCACAAGATGATATAAAATATATACGCACAAAGCACATTTGTATATATTGAATATTTCTCTGTATATGTATATGCATATGTTTGTGTATGTGTTTAAAAGTGATAATTGGTCATTTTTCGACGGTCAATAGTGTTTGGTTTAATTGCTGGCAATTATCACAAATTAAGATGCTTGACTTTAATGAAGATATATGCAAGCATATGTGACTTGAAGTACGCTCGGCCTTCGAGTATGCATTGTTTGATTAATTAGAAATATTCAAAAGGGTTGCACTAATCAACAAGTTTCTCATAAATTAGCATTCATAAGAATAATATTCAAATGTTTTGGCGCGGACAACATAAGTACGCGCTTCAAAATCAATATTGAAATACCATAGCAACCATAGGTAATTATTATTATATAAGAAATTCTGCATTCGGATAATCGAAAAATTCAAATATTCAAAATCAAAGCTCATTATAAAGTTTAACATTACATAACATCTTTTTAGATTAAATTTGCAGTTCGGTTGTTTTGCGTTATACTTATCTCGATTAGATTCCATATTCAATCCGAATATTATTTGTTTTGTGGGCGCCTATCAAGACGAGTAATTAGTATTGTGGAAAAGATAACTGTTCTTTTCCACTTTATCCAATCCAAGTCTAGCTATTCAAAGCCCAAAAACTACATTGTTTAGATTACGACAAGATTATACAAACCTTAAAGATTGCATATATAGTATATAAACAATATTATATATAACACACATACACATATAAACATAATATAAAAGCAATTAAAACCATTATCAGTTTTTATACACCACTTCACTTAGCATAATTCTTCCTTGGCGTCAATGATAAAATACAAAATTTATATCTTGCTTTCGTGCATAGGCAAGCTTCTCGTGATAGTCCCTACCAGCAGGAAGGCAGCGCAAAACGCAGGCTAACTAGGCCCAAAGACTGAACTGCTGTGGTCGAAATTTACCAAATTGAATTTTCTTTTCAAACATATTAGACACAAATCAGGCATACGTGATTCAGATTTGGTTCAATTATGGACCAACTCTCATCACAAGGTATTACAAATTAAGTCTTGTTGCTATGCAAAGAATTATCTTTTGTAAGAATAATTAATTACTTGGAATAAGATTGTGTCACCCCAAAATTTTGAGTATATCTTAGATATGTCAACACAAAATGCTATTTTTCATTGATCTTTATCTAGACGTATTAAAAATTGTACAAGTTTTTCATATGATTACTTGTTCATTGTAAGTTCATAGCCTATGGGAACCGATCGTAAAGGTGATTCGATAAAATTCATTGTCCGGACTTGAGCTACATCCGACATATAGGCAGGCAAGGATACGTAAATGCTTTCAGGAAATGATTCTGCATCGATTGGATCGTGGAAAGCTATGTATACTGTTTCTTATAAATCTAAAAATTTAGTATGACTGTAAAGTACTCTGAATGTGGCCCGACTATATATATGCTCTAAAGGCGAGATATGTAAAAACAAAAAAAAAAAAAGAACAAAAATCGTATTCAAATGTGGAAAGAAATTCATTTCTTCATATGGAAAAGTAACGTAGAAGTGGACATATTCTCGTAAAAAGGCCAGATACGTACATATGAAAGCGGAATTTTGTATAGAGAGTATCTGGTTATAGGGTTGTATGCAAATAGTAAACAATGTTTTATTCGAAGTATTGTCCATCGTTGGCTATACATTTGTGTTTAAAGCAAGCCAGTTGTCACCCAATCATTTTCTTATATTTTCGTCAGAAACTGCGCACTGCTTAACAACGTCGACGTCCTGTCGACGCAAATACGTGGTAATCGGAAGGACTGAAGTTATGTGAGTCTCGATTGAGTGCTTCCAACGTATTGCGAACCGGCTTTGCTGAATGGAAGTCATGTAAAGAAATACGAGTGATTCAAATCTCGTTTTAACGATCTGTACGATTTATACGCACATTTACGAACACATACATAGGGATATAAATGTCAGTAACGGCCGTTCATAGCCCTCAAAGGACATTTATTGAGTGCTTCAGCTACTTAAATACACTAAGCCATGCCTCGGGGAATCTGTATTGAACGCTACGCTTTCGCCGAGCTATGTTTGTACATCATATCACTTTTTAGTTCACGTTGACGAAAAGATTATTCACTTTTCTAATAAAACACTTTAAGCTGAATCTTGCGATGTAAGCTTAATCTTGGGGCGTTTCTGTGATGCACAAAAATGAGCTAATTTGGAAGGAGATGCACCTTTAGTTACCATCTGAAGCGGAGAATGGACTTTTGTAAACTCACCAACAAAGTATTTAGTAGTGTTGCGAGACACAAAGCAATGTAGGGTACATGGAATGGCAATTGGTTTTTCAAGGTATTTTACAGGCAAATATCTTATACAGCATAATGGTCTAACTGATTTTTTTTTACATCCACTATGTCGAGACGTTATTTGTTCACAAGGTTTGTAGTTTTCAGAAAAAAGTTTCAGTATAACGTACAGCATGAAAATCGGAATCGATCTATGCATATCTCTCTGTCCATCCATGGATTTATATTTCTATACTAAATGGATAAATAGAAGATATCGAGTTCAAATTTGCCCAAAAAATATATGGAAAATTCTTCCGATCAGATTGGTATTGAAAATGGGTTAAAGCGATCGAAGGTCATATTTGCCTTATTTACTAGCCAAATGTATTAGCTGAAGATCATTATTTAATGATTTAAAAAAATTTATTTGTAAATTTTTACCCCTTAATTGAAAGTTAGAAAATATGAAAGAATGGAAAGCTTTATACCTTCGGCAGTTTGTTATGCTGAGTTTGCAGGTTTGAAATCATTGAGGAATAAATTTAGTTAGCATAAGTTTTATTGTTTAATGTTTGCTTGGCAATTGATAAGGGCCCCCGTTACGCCGGTAAAATTATTCATTACAAAAATATATGGCAATGTCCTTTTTTACAAGTGAAAGGAAAATGCTCGGTAAACTCGGTATACTTACTATTCTCGCTTATCTTGGCGGTTATTTATATAAACAGAAGCAATCACGCCAATCTTGCATGGACATTTAAGTGCTGGTTTTGAAATGTTTTAGCAAAGAAAACAAAACAAAAGACCGAACATAAAAATGAGAAAAGTGAAAAGAAAAGACGTCGGCATCGCACTTAAAAGCATCTTTAAAAAGAATTGTGTAAAGTATTCGAAGCATAAACAATGCAGAAAATAAGGTGTCTTGGCGTCAAGTAGTGTTGCTAAGGTTTACATTTGTATAAAAGGTATGCGTACGCATGCAGATATATACTTACGAGGATATTTGGAAACGTGTTCTTGAAATAATCCGGGGACTTCAGCTGGTAGTGCTGCCTTGCCATAACGCACGAACACGGCAAAGAGCATAAATAAGATTATTTGCAAAATCATCAGGGCAACAAAACCCATACGTTCACTTATGGGTGAATGCATTTTTGCTTTATTTGAATTCTCTTCCATTAAAAAAAAAAACAAAAAAAAAACAAAAAAAGAAAAGAAAATAGAAAAAAAAATAACAAAAACAAATGCTTCTCACTCCTCTGATACTGTCTGTGTTTCTGTTGCTGCTTCTGCTTTCGCTTCCTATTTTAGTTTTTATATTTGTTACTTTGTTGCCCTTAATTCTGGCACGTCCTCAAACTTGTTAAGGTGTGACAATGTTATTATAACACAATAAGATGGAATTTTATGAAATCTTACAACTGGTTGCTGAGTCTGTTCAATTGTAAGTTCGTCTGCTTATTGAAAAGCAAACATTAATTAAATATAAATCCGTTCGTGTTTTGAAATTAAAATGAAATCAACAAGAAATACGTTGAATTCAAACTTTGATGTAACCATTAAAACAGATGCACTTAACTAGAAGCAAAGGTATAATTAATTATTAGAACAAGTAAAACAGAAACGATATAAATTTGTTCCCCTCCTTTTTTTTCCTTTCCTTTCTAATTTTTTTTTTTTTTTTTTGTTAATCACCAAAAACAAGCACAGAATTTTATTAAATTTTAGTCAAAATTTTATTTTATGAACACTGACACATTATTACTATTTTAACTTTTATTTTTTATATTTTGTTTTTTGAACCGAATAAAAAAGTTAATCTAAAATTTTACACATTTTTGCATTGCATCTATTAATATACTTTTTTCAGACAATATCCTGGCAAGAAGAATATTTGATATTCTTCTTTCCTTTTGTTTTTTTTTTTTTTTTTTTGCTTTGTGCTGCTTATGGTGTGGTCTGCTCTTAGCAGACGCTCGAACTCGTTTGTTTTTAAGTTAATCGCTGCAAGACCCACATAGCGTATAAGTAATAGTTTCAATCGACATTCCTATGTTAGCAATTGTGTATAAATTATTTCTTTCGCTGCTTGCACGCACATACCGTTATCCGTCTGACCAACGCTTGTTATTAGTAAAGTGCTTATTCGAAATTTTCGCTGTTTTAGCTTTTTGCATCAAGCGTTTGACTTCACCGACTACTCGTTTCTTGTCCATATATATTAGTCTCCCCCATAATCATAGCAGTTCACTGATTACACTCAATAAGATAATAATAAGAATTAAAAAGATTTAAGCATTCCTCCTCGAATCGTAGATACCCAACGACGTATATTAGAGTTTTTGGTTTTTTTCGTTACTCGTCTCTCTAACGCTATTTTAAGTCGCATCAATAAATGATTGGATGAATGCACACGAATTTTAGATACGCAGCCAAATTAAATCTATAAATGTTCTCTTCAAAGGTAATATGTTAAGGTGAAAGTGAAATTTCGTATTTTTTGCAGGTCATAAATTTCTTTTTCTTTTTTTGTTTTATTTCAAAGGGGAATACGTTTGTTGTACAAGCATTGAATTTTTTTGCTTGAAATTTTTAAAGTGTCCAGAATTTCATTGAGAAGCAAACCGAGCAAGCTAACGGGCATGTCTGAATAATTTGTTTTCTTTACGATCTTAAACAACAACATAACAAAATTAGTGCTCTCTCTCTCTGGATTCGTGATGATGATGAATATCTGTAGTGAGAAATCAGCACTAAGCACCAAACACGTAATGTATTTGTATAAGCAATTTATTTAGAGGTATAATTGTGTTAAGTTATTTTGCCTTTGTATATTGTATTATGTACTTATATCGTGATCTATGTAAATACATACCGAGATATGTGCGTTTGAGTATATATAGTATATCGTCGTCACATTGATAATAATATTGCATAACTACGTATATTGTTTTTTTTTTCGCATGCTTTACTATTTAAATCTTTTAGATTTTTTTTAATTTTTTTTTTTTTTTATTATTTTTAGTACTATTAAGTTTAGTTGTTGTCATATAAAGCGTTTTGGGTGCAAACGGTTTACGTTAAACTCAAATTATGTTATTGAATTTAAACGATTATGCGTAGTGTGTATGTATGTATGTATGTATTCTTAAAAAGTTTTGATGTTTTTCTAAAGTTTTTGCACTCTTCCTATTCGATATCGCTTCTGGCTTAAGTATATAAAGTTTGTGCGCAAACGTGCAACACTCAGTGAGTCTTGAGGTAAATTCAACTTTTTTTATTTTGTCGATTTATTAAACAACTTTTGTCGAAAGTCTTTAAGCATGCCTGCGCGTTTGTCTGTTTCACATGTGTTCATGTATTGCTGTATGCAGTTTACATGTCGCAAATTTCGACATAACATGTTTTGTTTCTCAACGAATGTATGATAAAACATGGGCTGTAAGGGCTAAAATGGTTTACTTGTCTTACACCTCCATAATTCTTCCTATGCTAACCTACGTAGCTCTGGCCTAGTGGCTTACGGTAAACCAAAAATGGCGACAACAACACTAAACACAGCTAAGCGTCTCGTTTGTAGTGGCATGACCATGGCGATGAGATCCTGCTCCTTGAATACCCTAGAAGCACTGCTGGGCATAACACCTCTTCCCATAGCCATAAAAAGAGGCTTATCTGAACGCATTCAGATTGTTGAATATCGCTATACTTAGGTATGTGGAGGTACTGGAAAGCATCATGTAAGAAATCTTTGTTGCGAAGCAAACACTAGCGGATCGGTTCAGAGTGATTATACCGCTGAGATCGGGTTGAGCTCGGCAAGCTTATGAACCCATGGTGGAAACAAGGAAATGATACATCCATTGTTCACGGCTTGAGCTTTCAAGAGATCACACCAATGGAATATGTTCCCTCCATATTTCCAGCAGAAGTCTAGGCGATCTCCGTATATGCTACCGAATGCTTAAGAATAAAGATCCAGAAAGGTCAAACGATAACGTCTAGGCTCACATTGAAGTGCCTTCAAACATTGAATGAGCTTGACGAGCACAATAGCGTGCATCTAATATGGGTATTGAGGGCAACGAAAGAACTGACTGTGTACCTAAAAGGAGGGCCCGAGGAATCATGATAGCTTCTGAAACTTTATTGTGGCGCATCAAAAAGTCATGTTAATAGGTTGGCATTACAATGGGCGTAGAAAAAATCGGATTTGCCGCTGGAAACAATGTGCAGAATAACGACAAAATCTTCCGGCATAGCAGACAAACTTCTACACGGGTCACGATTCTTTCAGATATTACCTGAAAAACATGGGTATTATCGATACCGATTCATGGCGATTCTGCCAAAAAACTAGTGAGAAGTGTGAGGCTACCTGCAGAACCTGTCACCTGTCACCTGTGGTGGGGCGATTCAAAAGAATTCTGCAATTGGAAGGCTTTTTATAGCCCTTAGATCTTTTAGGTCGCAATACAGATTGCCCATGCATTTCAGAACAATAATAATGATATAATATTTTATTCAGCATACTATTAATATATATTTTATTGATTCAGCATTAAATCAATTTTTTTGCTAACTTGCACTTGATTTACTTGGACTACTCTCTTGGTGCTGAAAATCACACATTATTAATAAAATACTAATGTTAGCTTGTATATGTTTCCTGTGTTGCTTATTCTAACGAAAGTGTATAAGGGACGCTACGATTATTGATAAACGTCAGGAAATCCAAAAACCAAATTTGTATCAATTCTTTTTTTTTTCGCATCCAATATTTTGTTTCAAGTGCCACAATATTTTTTCAATAAAATGCTTATGCAGTAAGCATTGGTAAATGTGCCTGAGCTACTCGATAGAATATAAGGATAAAGTTAATTCTCTTAAGTTCTACAGCGAGTATTAACAAAACAGATATAAATTTTTTACTGCATATAGAAGAAGAATTTCGATATTAACTCAATCTTCATTCTATTATATTTTGGCGGATATTGTGTAAGGCTAACTCTATGTATATATATTATATATATGCGTATGAAACGTAGATAAGAAGCACTGTCTCTATGGGAAAGAAATTTTTCTTTTGTTTTTTTTTTTTTTTTTTTTTTTCATTGCATTTTGAAAACTATTTATGTAACTTTATTTCCGGTAATCATCCTTTAAGTGTTTCCCCTATAGCCGTAAATGTTGCATAAAAAATTACGTACTGAAGACCGTTCACTTGTTTGAGACAGTTTTGGCAAACAATGCTAAATAAATTGCCTTGTTATGCTGCTTAACGTACTCCGATGAGTACAGATGACTGTTTAGACAACAATGTCAACAAAAAGGATAAAGTGCCAGGAATAACTTTTACTAAAAATAACACAACAGAAAGAGAAAAAGAGGATGAGAAAATGCATGGCATGAAGAAGAAGAAGAACTAAAATCGAAAATACTTGAAAGTAACACCGTTCATATGTTTTAAGATAAACTATGTAAAATAGATGCACATATATACACACACACATATATATATATATATATGTATGTGTATATATTGTAAAGCAAAATTTGTAGCGAAATTCCATGCTGGCATTTGGTTTTGCTTTTTTGCATGCATTTCAGCAATTTTTCGGTTTTATACGTAATAAGCACAAACATGAAAATTTGCGATGATTGCTGAGATTTATATGTATGGAAATGCACAAGTACATTTTCTTATTTACTGGCTGACGGAATCATGCACGCATACGCATGCCGTCTTAAAGCCACGCGTGCACAATCATATATATATACAATACAATTATGTCTCTTTTGTGTGTACTGGCAAATAGTCTCACATGCCAAAGTTTTCAGGCACATTTTGTGGTTGAAATTTCGAGAAAGCAAATTTATCATATCGATTATGTATACAAAGGATATGGACACAAATATATATGCACTTCATATCGAAGTGACTCGAACAGAATTATTCAGCCACTTTAGTTAGAGGATCTCGACAATATGTTTCAGTTTGTTTACTTGCTTCTTTGCTTATTTATTTATTTATTTATTTATTTATATTGAGGTTCTCGAAATCCTTTTCTTTTTTTATGTGTACGCTCGGAAACATGTGCAAATATATGTGCACAATTATATACATATGTAAGTAGTAAAGAAATGTTTTTTGAGAAAAATACAGACGATGACAATGCTATAAAGATTTGCTTGTCAGTCCATCTCTTTCCTTAAGCACAATTTTACATATAAAATTTAGAAGTTTTTCTCTAAACGAAGGATTTTAAGTGCTTTGTGTCATTTTTAAATCGGCTTAAACGGCGCTCTACTAAATAAATCGAGTAATAGAGGTTTATTTATATGCGTGCATGTGCGGGCGTGCATGTTTGCTGCATTCCCTCTGTATATGTCCTTATGTGTACACAAAAGCGTTTAGATTTGCTTTGAGTTTATATTACGATTTGTGCCGAATCAGAGTTTTCCGCTATTGTTTGACAGTAAAATGGCAGCAAGCAGCTTAGCATTTAACGTGCAGACATAGACAAATAAATACACACACTTAAACTAAACGTTTAATAAACAGCTTTTAGTTATATAATTAAAGAACTTTTTTTTTATTGATAATAATATATATAGCGTAGCACTATATATCTACTAAAGAGATAGTGTTTAATCAGAAACGTATCGTT